CCCCAAAACCCCAAAACCCCAAAACCCCAAAACCCCTAAAACTTATCAATATTTGAACAAAATTTACTAAAAATGAATTCACTCAGCATTCCCAATGGCGAAGGCGTTTGGAAGAAAAGGTCAAAGAACATTAACTTGGGGCCCTCCCAATCAAATAAAGAACTAGAAAAAATTAAGGATGAGCAGACCCAGTCAGATAAACTTACGAGCCAATGGTCTACAGCAATCTCTGAAGCTCCTCAGACATCAAGCAAGAAGCAAAAGTTTGACCTTACTCAGAAAGTAGATTTTGATGAAAATGATAGTTTTAACGTTGGCTTGCCTCAGAAAATTGTAATGCAACGTAAGCTTCCCTAATTTTATTATTTTCAATCCATCATAAATGAAGTACACTCAGTCTAATTTTTCACTCCAGCTTCTGAAGCAAACAAGCGAAAATCTGATCGATCCACTTACAATTTGACCATGAACAGGATGAGAAAGCTCAAGATTGGGAACCATGATTACAGTAGAGGCTATCAGCCTTTATCAGTAATAAATGATAACTCATTGAATCTTCCAAATAGTAAATTTGAAGAAAGAGAGAAAAGATTAAGTCCACAAGACCTTAATTCTCAGATACTTGAGGAAAAGCCTGACCAAGAACATAGCTCCAATGAAGACGATCCTCAGGAATATGAAGATGATGATAAGGAGAACAACCCACTGATACAGAAATTGAAGAGGAAAACAAGAACTCTCGCATATAGAATGAACACCATCGATACTTTTAGAAGTTCCTGCTTAGACAGTGAGAATGATGATGGAAAAAAGAAAGGTAAAAACAAGGACAAAGAAGATGATATACACTTCCTTGATGACCCCTCCTCCATCACTGGGGATATCGATTATGATAAGATCGAGGGAAGTTTTAATTCTTGTCTGAAAACTGAAAGCTTATTTTATGATAAATCTTCTTTTCTCCAAGAAGATGGCCCACCTGACCAACAAGAGGCTGTACGCTTATTTGCTCAGAAATCAGAGGCGGAAGAAAACATCAACTCTCAAAATAGTAGCTCACAACTCAGTTCACTACGCTTAGTGAATGAAGTCACTAAAGAAATTGTAGACTTTCCATTATACACTGAGAAAGTATTTAATCTAAATTTTCCAAGTGAAACTTCTGGTTGTTTCTCAAACTATTTTACCAAAATATATGAAAGTGTAAGTATTTTTCACTCCAAAAATCAAAATTCCTTTCATTCTAAGTTGCCTATAGGAAGATGATGAAACCCCATTGGATAATGATTGAATGACTCAGCAAGAGTGAGCACAGTATCACATCGATGAAGCATTTCTCAACCTAGACAAAGAAATCAGCACCTTCCTAATCATCAATAATACCGGTAAGAAGTCAAGGTATTCTAACGTTAGACGACTTGCTCAAATCAAAGCTAAGATCAAGATTGCTCAGAATATCAAAAGATGATTCTAAGCCCACCCCAGTCATCTCTAGGTAACTCTCCTCCAAAAATTCCAAATAACACTCATTAACAATGAGTGTCCAATTCTTATAATTTCTGAGGGGTTTTGGGGTTTTGGGGTTTTGGGGTTTTGGGGTTTTGGGG